AAGATTATTTTACCGCAATAAGTATTTCATTGAAATGTTTTTATAAAATAAAACAATGTTTTTCTCAACAACTAAGTTCCAGCTTATAAGAGGTTTATTGACTTTTATTGGGCCTGACTTTTGAAGCCCATCGAAAGTGTAGCTTCAACTCAATCTCTTTAAGGGATTCTAGAAAGAAATAAAGATAAATTCCTAAAATGAGCCCAATGTCTTTTCCCTTTGTTCCAAGAACTTTCTACTGCAACGTGCCTAAGGATGTTTACAATTGAATTTCCTTAAACATGGCTTTAAATAATAAAAAATGTGCATCAACACCACTACTATTTAACAGCACACACTCATAGTTGTCGGAGACCATTCAACTTTCAAACACTGTACATACTACATTCTCAAATAAAATGTATGCCTGTTAAATACTGCTATAAAATTCATTCTCAGCTAGATATACAATATATAATGGACAAAATACCAGTCATATATACTACCCAAACATTACAAATTTCTCTAGTATCTTTAACCAAAGATATCTTCATATCTTTTTGCTCCTAACTTCCATTGCCCCATAGTGGATAAACTCGGATTTTGTACTGTCTTCAACTGGATAAACCTGTTGTTATGGATCCAATATCTACAACCAAATACATAAATAACAGACTGATATATTGATACTTATAACAAAGGAATTACACTAAAATGTAACAATAACTAAGGATAGTAACACAAAGAAAGGGGATGGGAAGACAGATCCACAGAGAGATATAGTCGAGGGAGAGAGAGAGAGACCATAGAGTGGAATTTTCTACAAAATTCAGCCTAACTCTAGAATGCAATGACCGTATTATTTCTCTCCTGATTTTCTTGGTCTCTTTTACACACAGTGCACATGCTATTTTTTCAGCCAGGGTCCCATATGTAATTTGCCAAAAGCCCAAATGTGGAATCACGACTATTTTGATTCATAACAATATCTCCTTCCTCAATAAGAACTTTGCCCTCAAGGTTCGAGTCAGGAATTCCTTCTAACCACATAACAATCATATCATATAAACTAAGCCTTTCCTCTACTGCATGTGTAAAATCTTTATTAGTATAACTGGCAGCAACAATGAACATCCATAGAGCAAGATTTGTATATAAACTTTGACTTTCTTGATTACCATCTGAAGCAACTACAAGAATTCCAAGTCTTTGAAATGACCCTATAGAAATGGCATCATTGAAATAATCTGCTTGGGAAGCTTTAGGACACCCAATATAATAAAACAATCCCAACTCTAAGTGCTGCCCTAACTCCAAGTACTTTTTTTTTTTTTTTTTTTTTTTTTTTTTTTTTTTTTTTTTTTGGTTACGATCAAAATGAAAGGTTGTTCTCTGGGCCTGTCTTTTTCTCCAAGATGCTAGTTCGAGTCCAGCTCATGAAAGAGTTTGTGAGTAATTGGATGTGTCAGGTTTTGTTGCTTGCCCGAAGGAAGGGTTATCTGATCCGATCAACTATGTAAGCCGTAGCGCGCTAACACGCGTACTCTTCCACTATGAGCGAGTCCTCATAGGATCCCTTCATGCTCGGGTACCTTTGTAGAACAATATGCTTCAACTGTTCATTCTTGAATTCTTTTGGCCACAAATTTAGTCCCGCAAGCTGCTCTATAATGTCGGTTGCACTCATAGGATACCATTGAATGCAACCAACAAGTCTACATTATAGCAACCAGAACTCCAACAAGTTTTGTACATCACTATTTTGCCTAGTGGCAATATATAATCAGACACTTTCCTGCTTAAGGTTTTCAAAAGTGAATGTACCTCCAATGCCCAAGCCTTCATTACAAAATTTTTGACCTTTAGTAAGAAACCTTCAAACCCAACCACATAATCTATACCCTCCATATTAGATGCTATCATAGTGACAAATGTTGATATTTGTTGCACAGTATATGAATAAGAGCATGGAAAAATTGGATACGGACACGTACGTTCCATGTCGCTCACAGTCTTGAAGTACGACATTGCAACCAAACCTCTACTCCTTTAGCAATTTCGTCAAACGATGTATGCGAGTCCGATTTGGAGCTTAAAGTAACATTCGAAAGAGTTGTACAACCAGAATCAACCATAAAAACACGCCCATTGTCGAACCACTTCATAAATTGTATGCCCAAACCATGGTTCTCGAGAATAAGACTTACTGTCTCTCCATTCCAATTCCCTAAAACACCTCGTTAGAAATAAAAATAATCACGATTTCCACCTTTTCGTCGAACAAATTGAGCACACAATATGTTAAACCAAGTATTATACAACCAATAACTAGTGTAGTGTTAGTCACAATTGCTTCTGTTTCTTTCTTGGTCATTTGAAGAGGCAGTGTTCGAGCAAAAAAATTGATACATGATCCATAAAAATAGAGCCAAATATGAGGAGCATCATCCAAACAAAAACACAGTGGCAAATATCCTAAATTTGTTTGTGAAACCAAATTGTTTATACTACTACCAATAACTTCAGCAAGTATAGAAAGCATGTCGAAAGAACAAACAATAAAATATCTAGCACATTGTCGATCACCAAAAGCAACTCCCAACAGAACATATTGGCGAACACTGTATGTACTTCTGAATCGAAATTTCAAAGGTGCAGTGCAAGAATTCCATATGGTGAATGTCACGAACTTATCACGCTCAAAGTTGCTCGAGGCACCACATAATACACAATTGTTTGTAACTCTAAGGAATGTGGTATGCAAACTCGAGCCAGGATCAAATGGAAAGTCTAATCCGAATTGATCATGTGGATATCGATGCAATGGTAAGACAAGATCAGCATGACCAAGGTCACCTAAGTGACTAAATATGTCTTTGTTTAGAAGTAGGTCATAAGTGCAAGCAGAAAGCATACAAGACATCGCCTCCAAGTTTTGGGCTAGCCCAAGTCCATATCGACCAACAATCATGACAAGGTTACTAGAAATAGAGAATGTAGAACTAATATATAGTGGAGCCTTCTTTATGAATGCAATAACAATTTTTTCTTTATTATCCTTATCTTCATTTTCAACAATATTAGCATTATTGTTTGCCGCATCAATCGGAGCGACATGATACATCGAATCATTAGGGAAATGAATCTCAGTTGTTAAAGTAAGCTCCTTAAGTGGCTCTTGGATAGCATTCGGCTCCTGAATAACATCTTTAGACCAGTCGGACAATTCATCGAACACCTTGCGCCCCCCATTATTGCTGTTGTATTCAGATGGTTCAACCAAGTATTGTGGCAAATGGGGTTCGACTTCCTCTTTGTCCTCATCCAAAACTGAATTGCAAGTCTCCTCATGTGTTGTTAGCATCGTTTCAGTAACTATAACAATTTTAGTTTCTCTATTTGGCTTTTTCGCAAACACTGTGTGGGTAATGTTCAGGTTGGTGTTCTCTGAGGGCGCATTCCAGTACTGAGGCAAGGGCAAGTTAGCCATGTTGCTCCATGACGGAATAGTCGCATCCCGTGCCGGATAAGCATCCAATGTGGTAAACTGTCGGAGAAAGCCTAAACGCCTATAAGGTGCATCCCGATTTCGACCTCGAAATTGAATAAACAAGTCCACGAAATGGTCCCAACCTGCTAGTTGTTTGTTTCGAAATAACCAATGATACCATTTTAAAGCCACGTCATCCAAATAAAATGATGCCTAGGACAATTTATGCTCCAACGAAGTCTTATAGAAGGTGAAATATTTCTCTGCCTGAAGAACCCAATTCATAGGATTCTAACCGCTAAAATGACACATTACTGGGGCTTGAGATAGGTCCACCATGGTAGATGGAGCCAATGAAAGCACCAATGTTATGGATCCAATATCCGCAACCAAATACAGAAATAACATATTGATATATTGATACTGACAACAAAGGAATTACACTGAAAAGTAACAATAACTAAAGATATTAACAGAGATGGGAAGACAATCCACAGAGAGAAATAGTCGAGGGAGAGAGAGAGACCAGAGAGGGGAAGTTTCTACAAAATTCAGCCTAACTCTAGAACGCAATGACCATACTATTTATCTCCTGATTTCCTTGGTCTCTGTCACCCGCAGTGCACATGATCTATTTTCAGCCAGGGTCCCATATGTAATTTGCCAAAAGCCCAAATGTGGAATCACGACTATTTTGAATCATAACACCTGCAAAGGTAGCATTAACATCCGTTATCATTGTTGAGACATATATAATTAAATAATTAAGAATGTACTCTTGACGAGCGCAAAACACAACACGAAATTAGTGCTCGCTAACCAAAGATAGTATATTTTAATTATCGTCTCCACATGGATTGGATTTAAACAATATTCAAGTAAGTTTTGGCTTATACGCTAGTCAAGATGATCAACACTTGATTTGATGTAATTACTAACTACAATTAACTACTAAATTAAGATTACAACTAATATCACAGAGAGTGTGAGTTGAACTAAAACGGATTGTAAGTAATATGAGAAATAAGGGTCACGACAGGATGAGTGTAAGATAACTATTCGGGATCTAACTCTGTTTAAATTCACTTCTAATGTTCTAATGATTCTCACGAATTCACTCGATGATTAGCTTAAACGTAAGGTTACGATTCTTCTCTCGATTAAATCTAAACTCTACAAAATAAACTAATATGTAGCACTGTGAAGATATGCAAGAACATGTTAATGGACTAGTCTTTTGGAAAACGTCTCTCGGATATTCTCCTAACTTAGTTTAATCAATAATTCCAAAAGCTCTCTCGATTACCTAGAAGAATCACGAAATTAAACCAAACAAAATAATACAAAAATAATCAGCAAAATATTCCTCTTTCGAATAAATAAACTGGTGAATAAATTCGCAAACAATTCAAAGCACCATAAATAAATTCATACAATTAAACTAGAGTTAAATCTACAAACAACACTCAAAATACCATATCCATCAAAACCCTAGGTAAGAGCTACTCCATATATATGGAGAAAGTCATCATAAATAAGTTTAATTGCATAAAAAACATCAAAGACAACTTTACAATACAAACTCTCATTTTGCACTGATTGTTGGCAAGAGAATTGATGAAATCCTTTGTCTTCAAACCATGGCAGCTCTCTAAAACTCTCCTAGGTCGAATCCCCTTATCAAAAATATGTTTACACTGTATTTATACAGTGTAGGAATGACCTTGGACCGAACTACCCTTTCTGAGTCGAAGTGGGAAAACTGGGCGGAAAAACCACCGGTGCATCGCACCCTGCGTCTACGTGGGTAAGTTCAGAATGTTAACCAAAATTGCTTGCTGATTCCTTGACTTGTCACCTCGTGTCACGTGCCCAAACACACCAGTGGCCAAATTAAAATTCTTTACATTTGATGTACATTAGCAAAAATTCATAAGGTGGAGAACATTATTTGACGTGGCAGCTTTATTTCACCAGTTGACATTATTTTCTTTTATAATTTTTTATTCATATTCGGTCCTAGATCTCCGAATGCAATCACTGTTCAATTCTGGGCTTTTACTCAGATTTCAAAACTTCAAATTATCCATTTTAGCTCCAAAATATGTTCTTAACTCAAAGTCATCTCCTATACAACACAAAACACGTAATAAGTATAAATTGTCCATATTTTAGCTCAAACACAATTAAAGTGTAGCAAATAATAGGTGTAAAGTATCCAAAAACTCTTATTTTTAGCCTACCATCAACTATCTCTAACAATTTAAGATGAGATGGTCACGTGATTTGACATGCTATCAGCATATGTTTGGCTCATGAAAAAGAATTGAGTGCACATGTGAGGTTATACCCCGTTGAGTGTAATTATGAAATTCATTGTCAAGGTACCCGTTGGCGTTTATCCTCGCTGAAGCTGACAGTCCTGAATTTCAACTCTCCTCTGCTGGTTGTAAGTTCATCCAAGATCTCAGCATCACAAATTTCTATTTTGCCTTCTTCAGTTCCAGGAAGAGTTGCCTCCGTTTCCTTATAAGTATTTGACAGTTAATTATAAGCTTATAAATTTCCTATTAAGGACATGAAAATAATCCAAAATTAACCAGAATTAACACTTATTGAATACCTTGAAAGAGAAGCTAAGTGCACGTTGAGGGGCACCAACAATTTCTTCATACTCAGCTGCATCGAGCTCTTGCAAATGATGAGGCTGGAGCAATTTGGGAAGCAAATGTTGCCTTATGCTTATGAGGAGAAAAAATGGCAATGGGAATAGAATGCCAGCTATGGGTATCCAAGTGACTCCAAAGACCACAAGTAAATATACAAGTTGGAATACTGTGAAAATTGCAATGTATCTGAATTGTACTGACTCCACAAAAGATGCATGTACCCCTTCAAGAACCCTGCCATCATTGATCACTCAGGTTAGTTCAAGAATTCACATAATTTGTCATGTTCTTAAAAAAGGGACGTGACCTTGTGTGAACGCGGTATGACTTGTGCACCAGACTACCTTTTATTTTTATTTTTTTTAAAAAGGACATGTCTTTTTGTTTGTGTGTATCAGTGTATGTGATATAAAATGTAACAACTCACGAATCACTGATGATTGAACTCGGAAAGGGGTTCATGATGAAGCTTGCCCTAGGCAAATCCCAAGTTAGGGATCATAAAGAGCAACTTTAGGAATTCAACTGTGGAGGCGCCTTTTAGTTATAATCCGAGGAGATAAAGCTACGAGACGCCATGGTTTTGGTCAAAGCGAATAATACCTCGACAGTTGGGCCTCAACTGTCACAAAATGTTACTACTTTTTATTTTTGTAAAGAGATAATTATATTTTTGGGCCACCCTTAAAGATAATTGCCGGCAAAGGTATATTTTTTGTATATCAAGTATAAATATACATATAATATACAAATTATAACATAGTCAGTGCTAGTTAAAATGAACAAGACTTGATATATTTATTTAAGCACTTCAATTTCATATATCAGTTGGTAAAAGTGAGGCTTGCTCAGTTGGTAAAAACACTTTACCCACGACCGTTAGATCCTGGGTTTGACTCATGCTGGAGGGAAGAGCGTAAACACTACAGATCCAAATTGGGTTTTAAAAAAAATAAAATAAATTCATATATCACAAAAAGAACTTACTTAAACCTCCTGCCAGGGGTGATGAAGAGAAGCAAGATTCTTTCCCATAGTTGATTTCCTGGCAAGCTGTCAATAGCCATGTAGGCAAAATATCCCCAAAGAACTGAGGTTGGTATCTTCTTTATTACTGGCATAGCACCTACTGATGCTGCTACTAGTAGTGACTGCAGTAGATTGCTCACTCTTTGTTCATTGACTCGAACAGGCAAGTAAGCATCAATATGCTTCTCAGGATCAAATTTGCCATTTGACTTTTCCCCATTTCCATTTTCAATTTCACGTTTCATTATTGCCTCTTTCAAGTGTTTCAATTCTTTAGCTACTGCATTCTGCAATAGGCATGAAAGAATAAGATGTGTCAGTGATCAGTATTCAACGCTAGTATTATTTGAAAAGTGAATAATGGTTAAAAGTTGGATAAAGTGGCTCAGAGTTAGGTTTATCTAACTCAAAAACAATGATGCAATTCTGAGAAGATAGACTTACAACAGGAGGACTATCTATCTCTATGAATACAGCTTGCATGTTGCCATAGATTTCAGAGTTGCTAGCTTTTCTCCTGATACTCTCTTTCGCACTTTCAACCATCTTCTTTCGAATCAGCTGGTTAGCAATATGAACTGTTTAGAAATTTAATGTCGTAGTACTAGAGGCAATATCATAAGAATCATCCACAGATTAATTATATTTACCTGTTTCTTAAGAACAGCCAAACTTTTAGTATGCATAGGGGATTGTGGCAGGACACCATTTGAAGGAGGCAATCCAATCAAACCACATAGCAAAGTCTGAGGAGAAATATCAACCCTTGTCATTAGTCTTGATTATTGAAACAGCGCAAATAATTAGTAGAAGAAATCCACAGATGATAGTACCATAAATCCCAAGAGTAAGATATCATAATGATAAGCAGAAGGATTCTTTAAGTTGAACTCCTTTTGTTGTGCCATCTGAGAAGCAACACTGTGATCGAAAAAATAGAGTCCTGCTATCATCACAGCTGGTATTATGGCCGCAAATATGTATGCTGGAGGAACCTTCCCCATATCCTGCAGTTTGAGTTATGAGTTAAAATTTCAAGATATCTCAATGCTAATTGAAGGAGTAATAACCTTTCAAAATTATTCACACCTTCATTACAGTCCAGTGATATAAAGATGCAGATTCCCAAGGAAGGGGACTATAGAGAGTTCTGGGAATTCCAGATGGAACTTTGTTTGGTATGATAAATGAGAGAGCTGACCACATAAGAACCATTAAAGGAACTCCATAGTCCGCGATGAAGCTTCTAATCCAGCCTGATTTAATATGAAAAAGATGTGATCATTAGAAACCTATATTTTCATTAAGTGACAACACACTGATACCATGTTAGGATTACAAACCTGTGCCATACCACCATGACCTTGCTTTCCTGCTTTTTAAGGCTGTGTAGAGAAGGCCAAAGGTGAATATGATTCCAAGTAGGCCATTTGTATAAAGCCAATGGAATTGATTTTTCTCTGAACTTGGGTCATCGGATTTAGGAATGTGGAACTCGCTCACTAGTCCCTACAGAGTTACATTTCAAACGCATTCTAATTAAGAATCCATTCTTTTATATGTACCAAGAATCAGAGTCTTAAAAAGAATTTCTGTTTCTGTAGTTAGAGTACCTTAATTGCCTCTTGAATGAAAAGTACGGTGATAAGCATGCCAAAAGTCTCCCCAGCAATCCTTGTAAATTTACTAATGATAGAGCAGGCATTAAATATTGCTAGAAGAAACAACATGAGAGCTGTCCAAACACAAACCCTGCAAAAATTATATCACAGATGTGAGAATCATGATTTTTTCTGCCTATCAAACAAACTTATCTGAAATTTAACATATTAGTATAACATACCATCCAGCCCAAGCCAAGTAAAGGGTCTGTCCCAATTCTTCTCTCCCTTTGGCAAACTTGTAGAGGTAACTATACATAATAATAGTAGGTTCTGCAACTCCTAGTATCATAAGAGGTTGTCCGCCGAGTATTGAATGAATGATTCCACAAATAGCTGTAGAAGCTAAAGTTTCCACAGTGCTCAGGCTCCCATCTAATAATGCAAATCAAGTTAGTAGAACTAATAGTATCAGAAATGCATTTGATTGCCTTTAGAAAATTGCTTTCATCAAAAGATTGAAATGCAAAACAACCCGTATCTTTGTTCAATTGTTCTCCAAAAGCAATCACGGGAAGAGCAGATGCGAAAAATATGTATGTAGTTGGAGCCAATATCCTGGCATATACACACAGAAGTAGCAGTTAGATTAGAACTTAAAAGCAAGAAACACATAAAGTATCATTTGAACAACATGTTTCAACTAAAGAAAAAATATACCCTATTCCAGATCTAATTCCAGCAATCCAATCCTGCTTGTAGCAAGAAACGCGTCCTCGAATATCCTCTGCAATGCCTTCAAATGGAGTTGCGAAACGACTCTTCATCTCTGCTGAACCAAAACAAATAAAACCGAAAAAGAGTATTTATCAATCAAAATACAGAAAGCGTCGAATTTAAAACTGTTACATACTACTAGCAGTTTTTATTATCTTCAGCTTATTCTGTTATCTATACATAATAAATAAAGACTGCCTTAAATAATGAAATACCTCAGCAGGGATAGGGACTAAAATGAGAAGAAAGCTCTGAAGCTAACCAGAAAAGATTAGTATTGATATATCTAAGGCACGACATGCATTAATCTTGTTCTTCACGAGAGACTTGCTTTTGTTATTTCTGCCCAGAATTTAAATTTGATGGATTCGACGTTTATGTTAGACCCAGAATTTAAATTGAAGGGTTTGACATCTATGTTCTTACTACTTAACACATTGCACTTCGAAATAATGGTTAAAGATCTAATATTTGTTGAAACTTTATTATTTTTTCACATATACCATACTCCATATTCTGTTGATTGCACTCTCGATCCACCATTGGATAGAAATTGGGACAGACGAAAAAATGAATGTTCTTAGAAAAGGAAAATAGCAGAACAAGAAGAATGACTGGACTGAGGGGTTGTATCTCAATAATAGTATTGTATTTGGTTTTATATACAAGATTCACATTCATCTATTTTTCAGAGATTAATTGGTTTGAAAGAACCGTTACTTACCTGGTAATTGTCTCACTTTCCCCAGAAAATGGCCGAAAATTATGCAGAGGAAGTTTTTCCTAGAGACTTTTACTTGTTTCTCAGTAGCTTATAGTATTTGCTTGTTTAGAGAACCAAGCTACTTACTATAAGAAAAATAGGAGCTCTTGTACAGAGATAAAATATGTCCTAGAATATTTAATACTTATAAGATAGCAATTAACGAAAGTTTCTTGAGCCGTCTATGTGGAGGTGGATCGGGAAGTAACGAGACTCATAGCCGAAAAGACGACGAGAGCAGTGGACGAGATGTCAATAACGATCGAGGACGAGCAACATTGATGAAGCTATAACGACTAGTTTTCTATTAAAGAGAATATTCTAGTACTATTCTAGTTAATATTCTCTGAACTTATACTATTCGTATTTAATAGAAATATGTCTCATACAGAGGGGGTGATATTCATTTTGTAAGAATATTCTCTGAACATACTTTGAGAAGAGATTCTCCCTCTTACTAAGATACAAATACTACCTTTTCATCAAGATTATTGTCTATATTATCCCATACTTTTCCATCTCAGAATAATTTGAACATTCAAGTATTTGTGTTTCACTCATTATTGTCAGGAGGAACAACCATCTAGTTCATTTATTGGGTAAATCACTCCTCCTATTTACTTAAATGACATTTATTGTTATTCATTGTTATATTATTGCTCATACTTTTTGTAGTAGTCATTGCATACCGTTACCACTTTTCTACCGGATCTATTCGACGCTAATCACGCTTTCGGAAGTCACATCTAAAAATATTATTATTAACCAAGTTCAACTCATTATCATATAAATTTAATTATTTGAACTAAGAGTTATATTTTTTGATCAAATAACCGGGACTTAAACACCTTGCCAAATTCAGACAAGAGGTTATAGGCAACTTGGCTCTTTACAGGTATGGGATCTCCATTAAAACGTGTAACTGCTATAGCTATGCAACTTGCTTTCTGCCTCCAAATTAAAAGGCCAAAGGGGAAGTATACTTGTAATATGTTTGGATATTTTGGAAATACTGCTCCACTTTTGATAAATTGGGGTACGGTTTCTCATACAATCCCGTGACCCCAGTTATAATCATCACGAGTTGGAAAAGTGAACTAAAAAGAGAGCTTTTTATTGCCGTTCAAGAATATGTACATCGCAAATAAATAGAAAAGTCATACTACTCAAATAGCTAGCATATTCATGGAAAAAGAGTAGCCGTCCCGAAAACGCGGGGACTAAAGGGGAATAACAGTATAACACGCAATATTTGACATTCCAAAATCCAAACCACCATACAAGCTGGACCAATTTCCTTCTTTTCTCTTTTCTCTCTCTCTATTGCTATCAGTTATTTACCCAAAAGATGTACTTTTCCGTTCTAATTGACGTGAATCTTTGACTGGACACGAAGTTTAAAAAAAAAAAAAAAATTAAAATTTGTAATTCTAAATAAGTCAAAAAAGATCACAGAGTATTTGTGTGATTATAAAATATTTTCATTAAGGATAAAATTATAAGTTTAAGCTAAATTGTTTTCAAATTTAGAAAAGAGTCATTCTTTTTGGAACTGACTAAAAAAGAAATAAATTCACATAAACTAGAACGGATGAAGTATATGTTTATGGATTGTTGTGAGTTAAAGAGTTTTTCCAATTAAAGTGACAAATTTGAGTATATATTATTTTATTTACAGAGTCACCACTTGAAATTGATTTTTGGGTGTTTCAAGTCACTTTTATTTGAATCCCTAGTCAAAGTAAGGCTTGACTCTATTGTTATTAGTATGGGAAAATAAAGTCCGGCTAAAGAATTCTGTTAACTGGGAAAAAGTAAGACATTCCCCAAGTCCCGTGGTTCTAGTACGATCGCTTTACTGACTACATTTGGTGTATATTAATTTTGGACAAATTGTATTTTTATTGATTTTTTATATTTTACATATCCGCTTTTATTGCTTGATTATTACGATTATTAAAGGCTATTTTGGATTAAAAAAACGTCGTGACCACACAACGCAAGCGAATGCTTGGTCGAGACAAAATTTATTAATTTTTTGTCATAACAGCACAACGCAAGCGAATCCGCAGTCATGGCAAAGGATTATTAGCATGCCATTACTTTTGGGAAAATTACTACATTTGAGGAAATTAATTTTGAAATTTATTAAATGTCAATTATCGCGGTACGCAAGCGAATTCGCGATTTTAACCAAGGATTAATTAAATTAAAACTTAACTAAAACTATTGGATATGGTATAAGATTATTGAATTAAATTATTGAATGTTAAACATCACGCTACGCAAGCGAGTTTGTGAATTAAAAAGCTAAAGCGCGCCTACTAATTGCCTAGCACTTTATTTATCAGTAGTGAAAAAAAATGAAAAAAAAAGGGAAAAAATTAGAAGTGTAGGCTAACTTATTATTCACTAATCTTGAATCAATTCTTTTTCATTAATCCAGGCACATTTGATCTTCACAACAGATTCTTGTCTCATAGGAAAACTTAATTTGAAATAAGGGATTACACGTGAGGCTATAGCCTCTCCATTTTTATTAAAAAGAATATATATATATNCTAAAGCATAGAATATGAACTTATAATGAACTTGAGTTGCTAAACAAAAATGTGTAAAAAGTAAAAATCTACTCTACCTTTTTCAAACATATTTGTTACAGTTAATGACTAAACTTTAAACCGTAAAAGCTCTCCTCATAAATTACTAGACCGATGCTAGTAGTTAGATTCAACGTCAAGGCCAAATATACCCATGTATTTTTGAAAATAGTCTAAGAATATTCATCATTATACTATTGAGCCATCTGTACCCCTCCCGTCATACTTTGGAACAAATATACCCTTATTTTAGATGGAGTGCCACGTGGCAACACCAGATGAAAACGACCCATTTTTTTGTATTTACCCAATCCGTTTTAAAAACCCACCACCCGACCCGTTTTAAAATTCAGTTTTTTTAAAGCATATATTTTGTAAAAACTGATTTTTTTTGTTTCGTAAAAACTGAAAAAATGGAATTTGCAAAATATATATTTTTAAGTTTTTTCAGTTTTTTAAAGTATTTTTTTTGTAAAAACTATTTTTTTTTTGTAAAAACTGAAAAAAAAACTCTCCTAAAGCAGTGGACTACATATGCATTAGTTTAAAAAAAGAAAATATTTTGCAAAATCTTTTTTTTTTCTTCAGTTTTTACAAAAATTATACTTTAAAAAATTAAAAAAACTGAAAAATATATATTTTGCAAATTCCTTTTTTTTTCTTCAGTTTTTACAAAATATATATTTTTCAGTTTTTTTTTTCAGTTTTTACAATTATTTTTTTTTCCAGTTTTTACAAAAATAAATACTTTAAAAAACTGAAAAAACTTAAAAATATATATTTTTCAAATTCCTTTTTTTTTTTTTTTCAGTTTTTACAATTTTGTTTTTCACTTTTTACAAAATATATGCTTTAAAAAAATTGAATTTTAAAACGGGTCGGGTGGTGGATTTTTTAAAACGGATTGGGTAAAAAAAAGAAATGAGTCGTTTTCATCTGGTGCTGTCACGTAACACTCCATCCAAAATAAGAGTATATTTATTCCAAAGTATGAGAGGGGTATAGATGACCCAATAGTATAACGAGGGATATTCTTAGACCATTTTCGAAAGTATATGAATGTGTATATTTGACCCTTTGACGTAGATTCAATATTCAAAAAGTCTTAAAAAGAAGCTATTAGCTTTTGGTAGCTTTTATCTATAAAAATCAACTTTGTAATATACGCGTTATTGAACTCAAGAAATAGACTGCAAAAATATTTTGACTAATGAACTAAGGGAAGTTACTTTATTCTTAAAAGTCACACTTGAAGAATATAGGACCACTATACTACTATTATCATTATACAATCTCTAATTCTGAAAATTACACAAAGAACAACAATAAAAGTTAAGCCACGAACCACGACTAATAGCAACGAGTAGTCACGAACTCAAATAAAGAAGCTAAACAAAACTTCTAAAACAGAGAACTCCAACGGGAATATACCATCATCTCCATCTCAAATATGATTTCAAAGTTCTTGAAACTGAGTCTTTTGTCTTTCTAAAAATAAGAATTTAAAAAAAAAAAAGAAACTCTCTCAAATAATTCTAAGATCAAAACAATTTGCTGTGAAGGCTAATAATTAATTATAGTAAATTTTCCTTGACTCATGAGAAACCAAAACCCTATTTTTTTAACTCCCAAATAAACACATAAGTGTCACAAAAGACAAGTGTAACGATCCGATCACTTTTTAGATCCCCGTTACCCTAATTAAGACTCCCCATATGTGCTTTTACTATTTTATGACTTGCGGGGATGGTTAGTTCGGGTTTGGAAGGGTTTAGGTTGAAATCGTAACACTTAGTTCTTTAATATTGGCTTAAAATGGTTATGTTTGACTTGAGTCAATGTTTTGAGTAAACGACCTCGGAACCGGGATTTGACGGTCCCAATAGGTTCGTATGATGATTTTGGACTTGGGTGTATGTTCGTATCAGGTTTCACATGAGCCATGAGCATTTCGACGCTTAATATTGAAAGTTAGCACATTGAAGGGGTTTTCAAGTTCTTTAAGTTTGGTTTGGAGTATATTTTGGTATTATCGAGGTCCTTTTGGCATTCCGAGCCTGGTAATAGTTCTGTATGGTGATTTATGACTTATATGGAGAATTTGGCGTCATTCAAAGTTGATTTGATAGGAATCGGACACGCGAAAGTGTTTCTAGAAGTTCTTGAGTTTCATGATTTAATTTATGGATTTTGGTGTCCGATTCATAAATCTAGATGTTATTTTGGTGTTTTGATCATACGAGCGAGTTTGTACGAGTGCGGTTCAGAGTGCTCGGGTGAGTTTCGAGTGCGGTTCAGAGTGTTTTGAAGAACTTCAATTCTGCTGGTTTTTGACTGGTTCTTCAGGTCTCGCAAATGCGAGATCTTATTCGCATTTGCGAGATTGGCTTCGCATTTGTGAGGTTGGGGCGGAATTGATGGATTCGCATTTGTGAATAGTTTTATCGCATTTGCGAAGTCACTTGGGCATAGCATTTTTCGCATTTGCGAGATGCCATGCTTCGCATTTGCGAGCTTTGTGTCACGTTTGCGACTGAGGCAGAGTTGGTCAAGCTTCATATTTGCGACGCCTTTGTCATATTTGCGACCTTCGCAATTGCGAACCAATGCAACATCTGCGACTGGGGCAAGGCATTTTTATTAGGAACTTAACTTCGTTTCCCTCATTTCCCACTTGGT